AAGAAAACATAAAAGAAAAAATCGAATGCAATGCTGACAAGAGAACTTGTGATCTCAGAAATTTGGGACAGGATGAGTGCGTGGGTCAGGCATTTCCTACGTTGACCCCACCCTGGCTTCTGCCTGGCTGCAGCCGGAGAGAGCCTGAGTCTGCAAGCAGACATGCCGTACCCCTAGTTTTTTCTTTTAACCCTTTGCACTCCCTTGCTTTTTGTCTCCCTTCCTTTATTCTACTCGGGATCTCATTGTTTAAACACCCTAGATTTTACAAAGCGCGGGCAGTAGAATAAAAAACTGGAATTTCTTCTTTTCATACAAACTTATTTATTTAGATTTTTTTTATATATATTTCAAATGATTGATACAGAGAGTAATGTTAATCTCTATCATTTTTGCTAACCGCGTGGAGTCACACTCGACACCCAGGTGCAAAGGGACAAAGCACTAAAATGACAACAAAGCAACTGGTTTGTTGGTTTTATTGCAGCCCGGCAGGGGCTGTGCACAGCCGTCCAAACGCAAGCCCCTGCCTCCCCTCCCGGCCTCCGAGGTTGCTGGAGAGAAGATCCGGGTGAAGGCGCTTTACGATTTCCTGCCCAGGGAACCCTGTAATCTGGCCTTGAAGAGATCAGAAGAATACTTGATTCTGGAAAAGTGCAACCCTCACTGGTGGAAAGCCAGAGACCGTTTGGGGTGAGACACGTGGACTACTCCAATTCTTCCAAATTCTTCTAGCAAATTCTAGCAAATTCTTCCAAATTCTTCTAGCAAATTCTAGCAAATTCTTCCAAATTCTTCTAGCAAATTCTTCCTCTTTTAGCTTCTTAAAGACCGACCTCAAAACATAAAGAAGACTGTCGAGCGGCTCATTTTCTCCAGGTTTATAACTCTGCCCTTTGCACGAAGCCAAGCCTGTCCCACACCCTGGCGTGCATTTGAGAGAGAGCGATAGGTCACTCAAGGCACTGTCAGAACCAGACACACCTGGCTTCGCCTCCACTCCTGCCACCTGCTGTGTGTCTTTGGGCGAGTCACTTACCCTCTCTGAGTTTTCACTTAATTTGTAAAATAGGACTAATCATTAGCATTTCTTCTTTAAAAAAAAAAAGAATTTTTCTTAAAACCTCCAATATAGGTTCTTATTCTGAGTTGTACTGTATTTGGGAATTTGTGGGGTTTTTTTTTCCCTGTGAAGTTCTAAAATAAGAACAGAAATAGTATCTTGTTTATTTTTATGTGTCGGCAATGACTAGGTTTAGAAGCAAACATTTGCAGTAGCTGCTGAGTTAAATTGGAAAGAAAGAAAAAAAAAAAACCCGGGATGCAGCCAGGTTTCATTGAGTCATTTGCAATAAGTGATTCATGTTTGAGTGCAGTACTGGGTTGAGAAGGATTCTGAGGACTGTCTGGACTCCCTGGGAGAGAATGCTGGCATTGATTTCTGATCATTGCCGAGATTTGGAGATTATAAGTATCTAAGTATTTTTTTGTTTGTTTGTTTTTTGAGACAGAGTCTCACTCTGTCACCCAGGCTAGAGTGCCGTGGTGTCAGCCTCGCTCACAGCAACCTCCAACTCCAGGGCTCAAGCGATCCTCCTGCCTCAGCCTCCTCCCGAGTAGCTGGGACTACAGGCATGCGCCACCATGCCCAGCTCATTTTATATATCTATATTTTTAGTTGGCCAATTAATTTCTTTCTATTTTTAGTAGAGACAGGGGTCTCGCTCTTGCTTAGGCTGGTTTCGAACTCCTGACCTTGAGCGATCCTCCCGCCTCGGCCTCCCTGAGTGCTAGGGTTACAGACATGAGCCACCTCACTCGGCCCTTGGTATCTATCTTATAGAAATATTTTTAGTTGTGCACATGAAGGCATCTTGAAGGATTTCTTTACAGTACTGTTAGCCATAGTGGAGTTGCTAAACTAGAATATCTATACTATGGAATACTCTGCAGCAATTGAAAAAAAAAAAAGAAACCCTCATATCTTGGAGATTGCCCTGTTTTTAACCTAGTCAGTATGGCATCGAACGATCATTTAAGTGCTCCTTTTCCTCTCTGAAAAGATTTTGGGGCCCTCAAACCTCTTAATCCACTCACATCAAAAGTCAGGACTTTAGTATTTCTTGTACAGAGATTTTTGTTGAGTTGGAAATGAAAAAAAACAAAACAAAACTTTTTCCTTCTTTTAACAATTTAATCAGTAAAATCAATTTGCTTTTCCCCTACATCCTTGAGGTTTTAAAAGGATTGTTGCTGCTCTAGAAATGTTGGGAAGTAAAAAAAAAATAAAAGAAAATTTAATTAAAGGAATTAAAAAAAAAATAAAAGGATTGTTGCCACGATAATGCCAATTTGATTTTTGCTTTTTCTTTTGTTCTAGGAATGAAGGCTTAATCCCAAGCAACTACGTGACTGAAAACAAAATAACCAATTTAGAGATATATGAGTAAGTCTCCTCCGAAGTATGGTCTATGGTTAACCTACCGGTATGAAAATCTGGGACATGTTGGCAGCTTATAGGTGCAGGCACTGTTTTTGGTCTGTAAAAAGAAGAGAAAGTAACACATTTGACATTTTTAGCAGTGAAGAGCCCTTTGTTCCTTATCATGGTTGATTCAGAAACTTCTTTTTCTTAAACTTCTTTTTGTTTTGTTTTATATGGCCACCTTTTTTCTTTTCACAGCTACAGAGTGAAACCAAACACTCATCTGGGGCTTGTTTGCCTTTCTATCCCAGCTAGAAAATTGACTTTTAAAAATGACATTAAATTTTCAATGAGTGGCAAATTGGACTTACTATATATAGACAAGTGATTACATTTTTGGCTCATGATTCTATATATTTTTATAAATAGCTGAAGATAAGAACTTGGTAAGAGCTAGGCTAACACTGTCATTTGGAAGAGCCTTTGGTACGCTCACTAGAGTTCTGCTTGAAATTTATTTTCGTTGCAATCAGAGATTTGGAAGAGTGGAGGAGATCTTAGCAATCACTTTTTAAGCCTCTCATTCTTCAGACGAGAAACTGAGGCTGCTAGATTACTGGTAGAGAATGGCAGAGCTGGAACTAGTCCTGTGCTTTTTCTAAATTTAGGTTTTCAGTTTGAACATGTTCCCCCACCTCCACCCCCATCCCGACCCCATGGTACTTATCTTGCAATTAGCATGTGCTTCCAGCAGGTGGCAGTAGTGATGTGAGTTGAGGCATGAAGACAAGTAGTTTTCTGAGAACCAGGCAGCAAATAGAACTGAATGAAAGAATTTCCTTGGTTGGCCTTGCTACTAATTTAAATTAGCCCACCTGAGTGCAACCTCTGTGGAAAGCAATATGGAGATGCCTTAAAGCGATACAAGTGGATCTACCATTTGATCCAGCCATCCCACTACACTATTTAAAAAAATATAATTTATGTTAACGTTTCCCTTGTTGAGTATCATTATGCAGTCTCAGCTTTTCACAGATTCAATTTATTTTAGTGACCTCTAATCACTATTCTCCTTTTAACGTCCAAATTTCACAAGTGAGCCAGTGGAGGCCCCGTTAAGCTAGTTCCCCATGTCTAATGCTGCCTCGTTTATTTTGGAAGAATTTTCTCTTTCTACAATAAGAGGTCATAGACTCACCTGGAAATTGTTTCCTCCAATTTTAATATTCATTAAAAAGTCTTGAATGATGTTCACAGTTTAACATTATAGCTACTCTTGTTCCCACTAGTGATAGTCAAATTACTCTGTCTAGAATCATCTGGAATCATCTTGAATTCTCTGTGGTTCATCTTTTTAAAAGTTTACTTTTAGTCCAGGTGTGGTGGCTCATGCCTGTAATCCCAGCACTCTGGGAGGCTGAGGAAATAGAAAGAAATAATTGCCAACTAATATACTAGTACAAAAATATGCCTGGCTGTGGGCGCATGCCTGGTAGTCCCAGCTACTCGGGAGGCTGAGGCAGGAGGATCGCTGAGCAGGAGTTGGAGGTTGCTGTGAGCTGGCTGATCGCCACGGCACTCAGTCTAGCCTGGCAACAGAGTGAGACTCTGTCTCAAAAAAACAAAAAAACAGAAAGGGTAACATAGCACCCATAAAAC